CAGAGTAGTAAAGGCAAGGTGATTCCCACTATTAATTACACCATTGCTTTCTCCTCATTCATAATTTTAGAATTTAGAAAACACTACAGAGATCATTCTCTACAATTTGTTCTAATAATCCGTTTTATATGCATGGATTCATTAACAAAAATACTATAGGGTTTCCTAGAGTAGTAAACTACAGAACTGCAAATGAACAGGTTAGTAAGAGAGACCATTAAGGGGCCCAGAGATGGCTCAGTAGTTAAAAGCACTGACTACTTTCCCAACTCTTCAATTCCAGGGGTTCCAGGGTTGACTCAATGGTGAAAATGTATCGACTGCTCTCCTAGTCATCCAACTCCTAGCTCCCACATGTTAGCTCACAACCATCTGTAACTCCAGGTCCAGGGGCTCTTATGCCCTCTGCTGGCCTCCATAATGGAGAAAAATACATATAGAAAAACACTCATACACATGAGTTAATACCATAATCTTTTTTTTAAAAAAAGAAAGAACACCGATATGCAAAAGTATCTAACAAATAACTGTTAATTCTCTTCTAAATCAATGTCAGTTAGACTTTCCAAATTTTTCAAGTTTAACTTAACTTGCACGTATCTTTTTTTCCCTATGGCATTATAAGGAAACTAATGGGTGCTTTCCATTCACAGGTTGGCCTGCCTGGAGAATCCAGCCATGAAGTAATCCTAGCTCACCAACAGAACAGTTCTTTCTTTGCCTCCGTGATACCAATTCACGATTGCCCCGTTACGTACTATAAACATAAATTTTATATATTGCATGTTAAAGTTTACTCCATCCATGTAATAGCACTGTAAAGATTAAAAACAATGAGATGCTACAAAAATTTCAAGGCCAAAAATTATTGGAAAGAAGATAATTCCTCCAAAGCAGTTAAAACTCTTTATTAGAGATTCCAGCAAACACACATTTAAGACAAAATGTTTCACCAGCCCCATCCTCAGAAACAAACATTCAGATTATTACCCACATTTTAAACCATTTAAGAAATGTTTTAAAAAGTGGATTTGTTTCCACATTTTTAGTGAAAAATTGAACATTAACATCTGTTATACCGGTTGTGCTTAATTTTATTCCTTAAACTCTCGAGTTTCACAAACACATTTTTTTTTCAGTTTATAGAAAACACAACATGGATGAATCATGTATTCCAATGATGCATTTTCTTAATGTCTTTTCCTTGTTAACTCTTCAAATCTTACCCATATTGCAAAGGAAGGTGAATATTTTGAGTTTATACTTCTACAAACTTTCATTCTTCATGAAGGTCTCACATATTCACTTACAACACACAAATATATGATCTCTTTCAAACCAATCCACAAATGTCTGCCATGAAAATATGGATAAATTTTAAACCTCTTAAAGTTCTTTTCTTGTGTCTTCTTAAACTTCTCATTCCTTGCTCACAGGACACCATATAAAGTCAGCACAGAATTGTAAACGAACATGTACTTGTTAGTACTGTCAGCTTCAGTTTCTTCTTTACCTCAGTAGTCAGAGTAGCAGTCAAAGTAATAATGATGTTTTATATTATTGATGTTTAATAACAGAATAAACACATCATAAGTAAATTTTGAGTATGAACAAAAGTTATTCATTTTAACAACAATCAAAATGGCATTCTAATATGGTAGGTGCTGAACGAACACATATAGAGAGCTATATTTCAGTTGTTTTTTAGTTATAGAACAGAAAGCTAAATGATTCATAATATTTTTTGAAATCCTCAAGTTGTTTTGAGGTTTTGTTCAATTTTGAGGCTGAAAAAAAAAACAGCCCTTGAGTTTTCTAGAAATCCTACCTCTCTTTATAATACTAAATTCAATTATAACTTATTAAATTACTATAACTAAACAACAAATCAGAAAAAAAAAACACAGCAAGAACTCCTCTTACTGAATAGACTGGAGTTTTCTTACTAATTATTAAATGTTTCAAACAGCTAGCACAGTGATCAAATCTACCCTGCCTATCAAAATTCAAAAGGCTACTATTAAAATAATCAATCAGGAATCTGAGAGAGAAAAGGAGGGGGATTAGAGAAAATACGAGAATGGAGAAAATTATGTAATTACATGCTAATTTCAAAAATACTAAAGTAATCAAACAAAAATAACCAGTCTTATTGATGAGGTTTTGTACAAAGATAAAAAGCAAAATGTTTCAACATTAAGTTGTAATTAATATGAAATTGACAGTGATTCAGCCAAAATTATGTTATCACTTTAATTTCCATTCCAAGTTAATAAAAGTCCACCGTAAATTTTTATCAAAACATACTATGGTATAAAAACATAGTGTTATCAATAAAGGAATTTGAATTTTGAATATAGTAGTCTATATTATACAATTATACATAAATATGCATCATTACAAACTGCCAGAATATTAAACATAACCGTTAACATATTAATTGCAGCATTAGTATGTATGAGTCTTAGGTTAGAGAAATGAACAAACTTTGCAGAGTTTGGCAAAGTTTCCAATCATGTGCTGCTTTGAAACTTCGTGAAAAACATGCTTAGTCATGTGTCCTGCACTATCCAGATCACATAAGGCTGAACAACTGCAGGATGTCACAGGTTAAACATGCTCTGCAAATATTTTCTCCGGGAAAATAGCTCCCATTCTTCCTCTATAAATAGCCTGTTCTGCTCCTTCGCTTTAGCGGACCCACTGCCACATTGGAGCCTAGGTCGATGACTGTCCACAGCAAAGTGAGCTGACAGTCATATCCCACCATTTATCACTCAGACATTTCAGAGTTAATGCTGAGATTTTTTACCCAAATAAGCCTTGGATTGAAACCTTGCACGGCATCAAATGAAGATGTTTTCTCTACCTGTTAGGTCTCTTCATCTATCTTGTTGCATTGCCATTTCTTTATGACGTACAGCTTTTTTTCTCTTAAATATGTAAATTTTTAAATGAATACATGGAAAGACCAACATCTCTAATTCTATCCACAAACCACAGGTTAAATGTTGTCCCGTATATTTTCCTGTTCTTAAAACGCCTCATAATAACAACACAAAGAGTCAGGTTCATGAGTAGTGGCTTCTGGTTTATTCTGTCCAAAACAGTGAGAGTCCTGAGACATTACAGGACTCTTACATCAAATTGTTTACTGGTTTCTTCTCTCTCTAGGTCTCAGCCAAACAAAACAAAGCTATACGCTTTGGTGCTATCGATTTTCTACATCCAAAGCTTAAAAAAAAAAAAATATGCAAAGCGTGGGTATGCCAAGAGGAGCTCGTCTAAATTATTCTTTTTTAAAACCACGATAATGTTGCAAATGAAAACAACCTGCCACACACAGGGCTGGTAAAAGGAGGATAACAAAGAAACAAACATCTCTAAACTTGGGTGTTGCTGCCCAGTCCCTCCATCTGCCAACTAGTTGTGAAACAAGCTTTAGGAAAACACGAACAAGTTTCCTGACCTCTCAGTGTCTACCAGACTTTCAGGACCTTAGCAGTAATTGTGTTCTGTTTGCAGAGAAACCTACAGGAATGAATTCATCACCAGCAAACAAACTCTGGTCAGGAACGGGTCCTCTCAAGGGGCTTTGAATTTGGTTAGAAACTCTGGGTTTTGTTCATAGAAGTAATGCCTGGAAGACTCTTCACATTTGGACTGGAAATGACAGGGAGGATAATCTCTAGAGGCCAATCATCCAAACAGCCCCAAATAATCGCCTCCCACTTGGTTTTGGAAACTGAGTTACAATTTGGAACTAGGCTATAATTGCCCCTTCCCTTGTCTTTTTATGGTGACCACGACCACCACCACTACCTAAGAAGTTTGTTTTCTTGCAGCGGGAACTGCAGACCTCCTCACCAAGAACCGCACTAGGAGCCCTGCTCCTTAGTGGAACAGCGCTATGGGCATTGCCAATCGCTCCCCCAGCCACAAAAGGCAGCCAGATTGACAAGGAGACCCACCTCCTGCACGCTGGCCCTCACTGGAGCCCTGGGCAGCTTAGGCTGCCTGAGTTACACAGCCTCAACCCGACACCTCACCTCTTCCAATCCTGTTCACCCGGGTGGAGAGGGGCGGAGTACAGAGGGGGTAGAATACTGGCAGGGGTGGGGGGGAGGGGAAACAATCCTAGTTCTAAAAAGCCAGGATGCAAGTGGTGAGACCACAAAGCATGCGCGACACACACACACACACACACACACACACACACACACACACACACTTCTCTGTAAGCCCTACTGCTCAGGTTCAATGCCAAGTGATGACAAAATTAAAGGAAGGAAGTGAAGAATGGTGACACTCGGGGTGGCGCGAAGGCCCAGAGTTGCTGGAAACCTTTGGAAAGGGGCAGGGGATGCTTCAGGAATTGCGAAAGTGAGAAAGTCCCAGACATCTCTCCTTCCCCCTAGCTGGATACTCCTGTCATCACCCAGAATAGACCTTTTTTTTTTTTTTTGTGGGACTTGAAAAGAGGCCAGGGGAGCCAGAGCTGAGCTTCCCCCTCCCAGTGCCCTCTCTGGCCTGGCCCAGGACCAAGAAGCCCCCCCCCCCACCCCCCTTTAGCTCAGCTTCCAAGGGCTGCCAGGCCAGGGGCGGACTTGCCAAATGACTCTGGGGGAGCAGCACAGCAGGCTAAGAGCATCACACAGCTTGGACCAGCCCGTGCTCAAGTCTGCTCTGATGACACACCCCCAGTTAACCCCTTCCCCTGACACCACTGACAGTCCCGTGTAGACAGCAGTTTGCCTCCATCCCTCCCACCATCGTAGCGAGTCCATCGATTAAAACACTAGTTGATTTCTGTCTGATTAAAAAAAGAAAGTGCTACAACTCTTCTCACGAGTAGCCGTAGCAAAGAAAGTCGGTCTGCAGGCATCCCTCTGTAGTTGCCAGGAGTTTGGAAATGCGATGGTCCCAAGCGAAAAGGGGGACCGGAACCCACCCGAAGGGCGCGGGTTGCCCTACTCTCTCCCCACCCCAGCCCCTCTCACCTCCTTAAGTTCTTTGGCCACGTCCTTCAGGTCGCCCAGGACTAATTCCAGATCCTCCACTATGATCTTGATCTGCTCCTTCACCTTGGTTTTGGAGGCTGCCGGAGGTCCCTCGGCTGCAGAGGACGAGGAGGGGTTCCCTTTGGACTTGGCTGACATTCTTCGGTGGGGAACTAGCGAGCCAGGTCAGGACAGGCGAGCGAGCAGAGGCTGCTGCGCGCCCGGGTCCCTGGCGCTGCTCCGGCCGCTCCCACCCCAGTCCCCCCACATATCGGCTGCTCGGAGGGCAGCGGCGGGTGGCTGCGCGGTGCGCTCGGCCGGGCGGCCGCACTGTGGTGCTGCCATCAACTCCCCGAGACGAGGCGCTCGGCGCCGGGCTGCAGACGGGCGAGCAGCGCGCCTGCGCCTCCTCCCGCCGCCGCCTGCCGCTCGCGCGCACACTCGCGGGTGGAGAGGGGCTGCGCGGCGCCGCCGGGGGTGTCAGCTGCACCGCCCCAGGCACATCCCGCTAGGGTCTCTCCCAGACCTTTTTGGCGTCGTGGTGCCGGGAGACAAGTTCGTGAGCTGTCCACCCTTCTTACATCCTCATTCCAAAAGGTCCCTATCAAAGCAGCCTGCAGCTGCCTGTCTTCTTCCAGTCTGTCAAGGCCCCTCCAGCTTCGCCCTCCAGAAAAGACCTGGTTTCATTCATAAGGGACCACAGTGCGACCAGGAGCTGGAGTCCCAGTCTGTAAAGTAATCCTAAATATTTATTCAGGACCAGGTAATATCCGGAGACCTCAGTCACTCTCCAGGTGAGCTGTGAGTTGAACAGACTTCTGCAGCAGTCCTGGTGCGGAGTGGTGGGGGAGGGAGGGGAGTGGGCAAAGCTAGGACTGCTTAAAACCTGAAATCCTCAAAATTAATCAGTGTTCTTGGACGATGTAGACTAACATTGCTGAGTCTACAAAGCCAGTAGCAGATTTAGTAATGCCCTCGCACCAGAAATCCCCCTGGAGACTGTCTGAGTCATCTTGGTTGTGTTTCTTATCTATGCCAACTCTTTTTTTCCCCTTATCCTCTTTTCGTGACCTAGGATATGTTTTTGGTGGAGAACACTTCCAGGAAGACTGCAGTAAGAGTCTGCCTCCGACTTCTCTAAATGCCTTTGTCTTCCTAGTCTTGTGCTTCTAAACAAATAGGAAAGAACTTTAAGATAGTTTAGGTAAAGACACCTAGAAAAGAGAATAGGATGTTTTCAGCTTACTCTCAGGGGGTGGCTGCCATTTCATTAGCTCTAGTTTTAATTTCCATAGTAGCAAACTCGCAGGCTGTTAGCTACTGACCTGGCAGGCCAACTCTACTTTGCCTCTCCTAGATCATACTGCTCAAGGAACAATCTTCCCTTTTACAGGCTTCTCATCTAGTCTTGCCTTAGCTGGGCTCCAGCTCTTGCTTCTTACACTTCAGGTCCGTGCTTCGAAACATGAAAAAAAACGTGACAGCTCTCCTCTCCCCAGTTCCTGGGCTCCTAATATCTAGTCTTCAAGGGCACAGTTCTTCTGCATCGCTGGTTGTGAAACGTGATTGGAGGAGAAAGAAAACACACGAACGGATAGACATTACAAAATGGTACCAAACCAATGGGGAAAAGTCATTAAACAAACAATTAAAGGACACAGAAGAAAGGCCGGAAGCATTTCACCATGTCAGAGAAGTGAAATGGTAAAATAATAAAGGAACCAGTTCGCAAATTGGATGGGGAAGTGTTTGGAAGTGTTGAATAACTAACGTGTTGGAGCTCCCTAAAGAGGGAAAATAGTTAATAGTTAGGTTCCCTTCCCATTCCTTTATCTCTTTGGATTCTTTATGATGCTGGAAGAGTAAAAGCAGCTCCATCTGGTTTTAAAACACTACCTATGGAAATTCCAAGTCACCGATGTTCTTCTGATTTCATATCTGAAGAAAACCGATGTTAGAGATGGCGGGAGCTAAGGTGAGAACCAAAGAGAAAGCAATGGCCATCTAGACTTGAATTTTTGAGTCTTGGTAGTGACCAAGGAAGCCCAAGAACTCAAAATACAATCATCTTTAAAGAAGGATAGTGGAGGAGAGTTGTGACTTCCCTACAAATGATGAAATAATGCTTTCAAAATACATGTAACTGTTAGGCTATGTGGGATCTTTCCCTAAAGATTAAACAGAAACAGCCCCAATCTGTCATAATAACATTCATTGTTTCTACTGAGCCAAGCTGTTGTAGCTCAAAATCAAATCACTAAATCACTGTCACTCTGAAGCACAGTCTGGAATTCCATCTCTCTCTCTCTCTCTCTCTCTCTCTCTCTCTCTCTCTCACACACACACACACACACACACACACCTCTTTTATATAGAGATATAGACACACAATGACTGTGATGCTATCTATATATAAAATACAACAACTAAAAATGAAAAGCCAAAATTGCTTTCCAGGCCCAAGTTGAGGGAACTGGAAGGGCTTTTGGGGGACCAGTTTGTACATTTACTACAATCTCCTAGTTTCTAAGAATTGCTTAAACCATGTCCACAAGCAACTTTCTTGAAGGAAGTTTTACAAAAGGAATTGAAATATTATGGAGAAAGCATAGAAAAAGAACACACAGCTGTAGTCAAATCCATTTGCTCTCCATTTTGATATATCCTTGTTAAAATAAATATTATTCTTTAACTCATCCTAGATTTCCTTAGACATCAGAGTGTTTGAAGTGTCTAATTATAGAACCAAAAGCACAAGAGACACCTAATAAGATTTTCGATTAATTTTTCTATAAATGTGCTTACAAACTAGTACTAATTGTACAAGAGAACAACTTATACTACATTATAAACTTATAACTTAGAGAAGAGTACAAATTTAAAAAATACATAGAAGTCTCTCCCAGTTAATGAAGTAACTTTGTGCCGGGAATGTGTGTGTGTGTCTATATATGTATGTCTCTCTCTCTCTCTCTCTCTCTCTCTCTCTGTGCGTGTGTATGTAATTGGATGTTTCTCTCCTGCTCGGCAGTTCCCAACACTGCTTCTAAATAATTACTCAGAGATTTATAATGATATTTATTACTGCTTGACCAATAGCTCGGGCTTATTTGTAGCTACCTCGCACATTCAAATTAATCAATATTTCTATCTGTGTTTTGCGACATGACTCAAGGCTTGTTATCTTATTTTCTACATATCCTGCTTGCTCAGCACCTGGCTGGTATCTCCCTTGACTCTGCCTCTCCTCTGAGTTCTCAGTTTGATTGTTCCACCTAACCTTATCCTGCCTGGCTATTGGTCAAAGAGCTTTTATTATTAACCAATGGGAGGAATATATATTCTCAGAGTACAGAAAAATTATCCCACAGCATGTGTGTGTGTGCATACCTTTTATTTCTCTTTTTTATGATTTGTAGTGGAAAGAGTTGGATATGTATGGAAGATCACTTAGTGGTTGTTTCCAAGGTTACAAATCTGTAGCATGGGTTTGTGGTTTTAACCCATTGCAACTAATCTCTAAAGATTAGCCTTCAGGAGAAAATCTTGCACCAATTTAACATTTAACTCACAATAAGCACATGCTTCCCCCTCCTTATTAGCCCATAAACTTGTATTGATACTATTAGTACCCTACTCAACTATTCAACAACGGTTCTCAAATAAAACACCAAGATTAATCTTTAAAAAGATTTATTTTTTTTCTATTTTATGTGTATGGATGTTTGGTCTACATATAGGCACACATTGTGTGTGCAGTATTTTCTAACCTCCATAGGTTAGAAAATTAATGCCACATAAACTTTAACTTAAAAAAAAAAACTCAAATCCTGTAAAGTTGTGGTAGGATAGTACCGAGCCTTCAAGAGCTAACAGATTTCATTTTCGTTGTGGTTTTATAAAGTTTCAGTCCCTTATATTTCTCTATGGAACACAAACTGTATGTGCAGAAAATGCATTTTCCTTGCAGATTAAAACACTCATGTGGATATTAGTACCCACTTTCCTTATTATTGTGAATACATAAATAAGATGCATACATACATGCTGAGAGAGAAGAGTGGATAGGAGAGGAGAGAAAACAGAAAAGGTGGAAAGGAAAGGAGAAGAGATGAGAGAATGCAATTTCTTTAGGTAGGATTAGAGTAAAAACGTTTAGGGCTACTGAGAATATTTTTCCTCAGCCTCTTATAGAGTTTCTACATAGACGTATACCTTGGTTTCTTGGATCTCTTAGCCTTTATTTTCATCATATCTTGCCACTGTAACCAGAAGAAGTTATCATGACACATTCTGTACATAGACACAACTTGGCAAGCTCCTGGCCCCAGGATAAGTTTATAGCACACAGTCGATCATGTCCAGACTCTTCTTCCAATATCACTCGTTTGTAAGACATGATTTTCCAGTAGATGGCAGTAAAATGAGTTTTGTTTTTTTTTTTTTTTTGGTTTTTCGAGACAGGGTTTCTCTGTGGTTTTGGAGCCTGTCCTGGAACTAGCTCTTGTAGACCAGGCTGGCCTCGAACTCACAGAGATCCACCTGCCTCTGCCTCCCAAGTGCTGGGATTAAAGGTGTGTGCCACCACCGCCCGGCAAAATGAGTTTTTTTTAAAGTCTGTATATACTGATTTTCTGATAGATGGAAGTAACTGGTTTCTAGAAAGCAACACTTTTTTAAATTTCACACAAAGAAAGTTACCACTTGAATTAGTGACCATCCTTTTTAAATCAGAAGAAACATTAAGACTGTAAAATGATTCATTATGCAGTTGCTTGACTAAGTAGCTAACAATTCGTCCAAAGAGGAGACAGATCACCAAGAAAACAAACTCAGTATACATTCACCAGATAGCCTGTAGGACAAATCATATCATTTTTTGTCTCACACTTACAGTCTGGCATTTTAAAGACTTTCTGTGCGTGTGTTAGTTTTTATCAGGCTAGCTTCAGTCATCTTTCTTTTGACATTCTCTTTGCTTATGTGTCCAAGTCTCACCTCTTTAATCTCAGAATTGGGTCCAGCTATCAAGACCTCTCTGCACCAAAAAGCCTTGCTTGACTATTTCCTCCCTTTCTCTCAAATTTTTCCATTCATCTTGAAAATACAGGAAATATCCATGATTCGTTAGTGCTCATCAGTTTACCTCTAAACCTGCTTGAATTCATGATGGCTGCACCTAGAACTTTAAGTACACAAGGACTCTCATATAGGAGTCTAGGAGGTATTTTTGAGAAGAGGCTGGCTGCAGCTCTAAACACCCAGAGAGCTCCCTCCATGGGGTGAGATTTAGCTTCAGCTAAATAACTATTTAGCAAATTTTTGCATACCCTACTTTTCCAAAACTCACTCAGTCTTTAATACACCCAGTTAATT